CAGTACCCCCCATCGACTGCCGAGCCACCTCCGCAGGCCGCTCCAGCGCAAGTCTCGCCGGAGCAACCGGAGTACGTTTACACTCCGGGTTTGGGTGACACGCCTGTGCAGCCCCCACAGCGGGAATTCTACACAAGTCAACCACCCCTGGATCCAGAACAGACAAGTTATTACTACCCCGAGCAACCTGCCGACCCATATCCGCCCTCTACTGTGGGACCTCCCGCGCCGATCCCACCACCTCAGGAGCCGACCGTGCAACAGCCCCCGGTGGTCATTAACAACGTGAACGTCACCGTCGAGGAGACAGTGGTAAATGACGTCAATGTGGAAAACACCCAGATCATACAGAACACCGAGGTCACTCAGAATAACACTGACATGACGCAAAACAATACAGATGTCACTCAGAACAGCCAAAACACAGGCTACTACACAGGCGTCATCCAAACACCCCCGGTTAACATTGCTCAAGTGCAGTACCCCGACACCTCGACGGTGCCAGGTCCTCCATTTCCACCGCCGATTGACCCTGCTCCATGTCAATACCCAGACACTTCCATGGGGGCGGGGCAGTCAGGGGGTGAAGTCCCGCCTTTTGTCTTTGAGCCAATACTGGCAGGACCGATGATGGTCAATCCGCCGGCGGAGCAGAACGGGGTGGTGTTTGCGCCGACGTATGTTTGAGGTTGGGGAGTGTTTATGAGATTACTTGGGATTCCCTGGGGGCGGCACAAGGGGGTGTTTGATGGGCGGTGAATACCTGGCGCAATTCCGTTTTGAGAGGTTGAGACACGTCTGAAGATCTCACAAGCTCAATAAGGGACGTTATTTGACTTCTTTCATACCGGCAATTGCTAGGGGCGCAGTAGGCAAATGCTACGGGCACATTAAATTGCTACGGGCGCAGTATTGACGCCGATCCTGAGATCATTCTGCCGGCCATAGCAGCTGTCAAAACCCCATACAGAATCGCACCAATACAATGCATCAATTGACTCTACAGAACTCCATAACAACAGGATCATCAGGATCATCAACAACACAGCGCCCTGGCCAGGAAGAAACGGTCTCTGAAGTGCCGCGCAATTGATTAACGCAGGCCTAGGCCTAGAAAACGCCAAATCCGCGATCTTTGAAGTGTCACACGATATAACTACATAAGCCCTAGGCCCTGGAAACGCCGAATCTGCAGTCTTGGAAGTGCCAACACTATCCCGGGCCCAGGATCAATCCAATCTTGGTGCCCTGGCCGTCGGCCGCACCGCCCGACCGCTACGAGTGGTCTTTTTGGCAGCATGAGGCTCCAAGGGGTAGTTGCCTGCCGTTTTTCGGTGGCAGTTGGCTCTTGGGCACCTCCATTGACTAACAGCCGGCCCCTGGGCTTTGACTTGAGTGGCAACTTGGTCCTAGGCTCGGCGGGCATTGCGATCGCCTCATTCACAATCGCTTCGTTCGCATTCGTGCCCGACAACGAGCCGTGGCAGCAGCATGGGGGCCCGACGCGACAGAAACAGCGGCACTTCACGCTCGACCTATGCCAATGTCGACAGCATCGCAGCGCAGCTGTTTGAACTCTAGAAATCGTCCAATGGCGAAGTTGGGCGATATTGTCAGGATGCTTCCCCGCCATCTAGAAACGTCAGGTGAAGACCTAGATCTACCAACGTCAGGAACAAATTAAGCTGCGCCGCAGCGGATATTTCTCCAGATATTACAGCGACCCCCCACTTCACCCGGGAAAGACTATATATGATGAACTGCAGTTTTAGAGTTCAACGCAATTCTATCAACATGAACGGTTGTGCACAACTCACCTTCTGACAGTCTAAACATCAGCTTACAGTCAACATCACTCTCAGCGATTCTAACATGAAGCTGTTCTCCCCCGTCAATATCATCGGCCTCGGCACATTCGCCGCCCGCCTCCTGCTTCCCACCTCCGCAGCTCCGCTCGATCCCGTCACCCCCCGCCCAGGCCTCCTCACCATCATTGTCTTTTACCAAGCGGAGCATTGTGCAAAGACTCCGCCTTACTGGATGTTGTCGACAGGAGTCGAGAGCTGGGACGCCTTGCTCAAGGTCAAGAACTGCCAGGCTATCATTCCGGCCTGGGGCAACATCACGAGCATCATGCCTGGCTATCTCAGCGAGGCTTGCACCGGTGCGTAGATGCGATATTCTTTCGAGACATGTAAGACTGACTTGGACTAGTTACGGCTTATACGGACACGGCTTGCACGGAAAATGCCGTCACGCCGGCGTTTGAGGAGTGCGCGACGACTGCGAAGGGACCGTGGAAGAGCTTTGCTATTCGTGGGTGTGCTGAGGTTGCGGACAGGGCCGGGGAATGAGGGTAGGCCCGGGGCATCATGGTGAAGGAGACAGGTAGTTGGCACTGTCACTCCATGCCGTGTTTTATTTCAGTACTACTTCTAACTGCCAGCTACTGATATCGCCTTCGAGGGACTAGTACGGCGTTGAATGCTAGGGTAGAATACCTCGAACATGAAGTTTTTCTTCATTTGGTCTGCCTGAGTCTTTGTATTGTCCTTCCAGCGATGTTTTGAGTTTTCCTTTTGTCGCATATAGCGTTAACCTAGTTTCTTGCCAGTTGCGGATACTAGTCATCGGCCGTGCTCGCTCAAGAGCAGGGGGCGACATACCGACAGTTCTAGGGAGCCATTGACCCTGTCCCTCCGTGCGTGCAAGCTTCCCGACATGGATCCCTTGAGGTCTTTATAGGATTGGCTACCATCCTGCCTCATACCTGCTAGAGCAAAACATCTACCTCTGAGAAAAGACACGTTAATTAGCTGTCTTTTGGAACGTGCCTCAAGCATGCTTACCTCGCCGCGGGGTGACAAAAGCGATAAACATATCGGACGGCAGTACAAAGGAACCTTGCTTGGTTGCAGTGACAGGAGCGATGGTAGCTGTAGACAGGTTTATGTCACTGAAGGAGCCAATAAAAAGCATAGAGGAAACTGCAGCATCAACTGATGCCCCAGGCAATTTCCCCAGGTGCCCCAGTGATTCAAAGTTGTTCAGTCATTGTCATGCATACCTATTTTCAATGACACCCTTTATCACTCTACACACATGTATCCGAGTATCATACGGCGGGGGTGTATATGTATTAATCGCCGCAGAGATATCTCCATACGACGGGATACATTCTCGTTCATTTTGACACCTATCACAATGAGATCTCATGGGACTCTGCTACCTCAGCTGGTAGGCAAACTCCCGCAAGAAATCTGGCATCCCACCCGTCCAAGATACCATTCACCACCTCGAGACCCGCGCGATAGACATTCTCCAGCGATATCTCCAGCCCCCCGTGGGCAATGTGGAGCGGCATCTGAGGAAACCCGGCTCCAGGAGGCGACTGGTCAAAATTGCAACCGCTGCGAAGGATAATGACCCTGGAAAAATCCACACTTCCGGCCGCTGAGGCTCTCTGTAGCGCTGCCAAAGTAGCATTGTCTTCCTGGGCCGTCATGCAATACACGGCCTTGCCGCGCGAGAGCAGAGAGCAGTACTTCTCTACCGACTGGGAAAGAAGTGGGCCGTGGAAGAAGACGTTGGCAGAGGCAACGTCTCCGCTGACGACGCTCGGTGGGAGAGTGGCCGCCTTGAACATGTCACCTGGCGCGGCGGCGTATAGACTCCGGTATGCGACTGCGCTCGCTGCGTCGGTCAAAGTCGCCTCCTCCGCGAACCCCTGCGCCACCTTGCGGAGTTCGTCGTTCAGCGCGAAAAGCTCGGTTCCGTAGAGCTGTGTTGGGTATTGACCCGGGGCGGAGGCGCCCAGGGCGACATATCCCGTCGGCCACCCGGCTGGGATCTCACGAGCGTCGAACTCGTACTGCAGGTCGGCTTGGATGGCGTAGGTGGCGAAGGCAACTGTTCCCAAAGACCCGAATCGCGGGTTCACGCCAGATATGCCTGCAATGAGGAAATAGGTGTGGGTGAGGTCGAAGATGGGTGAGGAGACCAGTGCCGAGATGGTCAAAGAGGCATTTATCACTTTGGAGGCCAGCGTGTTAGTTATGGGGTTAACACGTGAGTACTAGTCCCCGGGACACTTACAACCTTCCCCAGTCACTACTTGACACACTTGACCGTCTGGAGTCGAGTAGATTTCTGGGTATTTTGGGCTGAGACCTGGGAGCTGAGTGCGCTTTGCTGTAATATCCAACCGGTTGGTGTTCTTCCTCCAGGCTTCTGCTTCAAGGCCAAACTAATGAACGGTGGTCAGCCAAATCTCGAGTTGCATGGCCACATCGACGCACCATGCTGATGATGACGACCTTTGGCCGAATGGGACCTTCGAGCTCCTCGGCGCCGTTCGGCAGACCCTCAATCATGGCGATATCCATATTGAGCTGATAACAGCAACCTTTTACAGTCAGGTGCTAACATGATTGTACTCGAAAAGGCAACTGTGATGCCGTGAACCCCGCACGAAGCCGAAGACGGTTTGTCGAAAGACCTGGCGCCAAAACGCTCAGACTGTCTCGGGGCTTGGCAAGAAAGAGCCCGCATCGATAAGCTAATGCAGGCGAGCAAACCACCAGAAAACTGTTCAGAGCCTAGTTCTACCCCTTCCCGTTTTCCATCACTTGGAAGCACCTTTCACGAATTACCTAAGCCTCTCTATGTTGGAACGCAAAAAGGAGAACAAGGGCTACAATACAATTTCCTTTTGTTCGTTAGCACGAGAGTGTAAAGAGGAGACGCCCCGTTGCCCTACGGTAGCCCCTTTAATTGCTTCTTCATCGCTTCCTAGAATGCCATCTTTCGCATTAACAAACTCACCGGGGCTGGGGTGATGGCAACACGACCCAGCCAAGTGGGTTGTAAGTTGTAAGGAGTAAAGGAATGGATACAACTCGGGTTTGTCTTCATTCTCCCGGTTCTACAGTCCACTCAAGTCGTAAATGACCCAACACACCAAATTACGGCTGACGCATCTCCACTGTTCAAGGAGTTCGGTTTCAGTGCTCCAGTGGTTAGGATTCAACCCTTCCAAGGTTGAGGGGGGGCTCGGTTCCCTCTTGACGCCTTCTTTTAGTCGTCTGCTTTCTTGGCAGAAATGCAATTTGATATCTCACACCAGCTCGATCCATATCTCTTCGGCACCACTGCCTCTTTTGAGAGCCTGCTGAGGTGTTTCCCTTCCCTACGCTCCTCCACATATACGTAGGACTCACCGAGGAGGCCGTAAGAATCCCCCACACCCTGCAGCACAAACGGCACGCTGGCGCCGTCAATGGCAAAAAGCTTGTCCCCTGGCTCTGTCTCGCTCGGCCCGACGCCCTGAAGACCACACTCTATCGTGAAGCGCCGACGTTCGCGTCCCACCGTCCCAGCAGCGTCGAGAAAGCGAGTCGCATTCCCTCCCCGCGCAAGGCCCTTCAGACTTTTGGCAAGTTTCGCATACTGCGCATCTGTCATGACCTTAGTGTTCCTGTGTTGGTTGCCCATCCTTTCCGCCTCCACATCTAATGGGTCTCGGCCTTCAGACAGCTCGAGGCCAAAGGCATCGTCTCCAAGGCACCACAAGAGTCTGCAAGCCAGCAGCAGACTCGCAAGATCCCGAACGTGTTTGACAGGCGCACCGTACCAACCCTTCCCCCCTGTCAAGATCATGGCAACTTTGCAAAGGTTCTCTCGTGATGAGTTGCGCGACAACATCTCATCTGTGATTTCACCAGACGGCTCGAGCGGATAGATGGCTATTCCGTTGCCCAGAAAACCAGAGACGTTGGACTCCTCCTCCGGCTTCCACCACGGAATGCAGAAATCAAACGAGCTGCCGGTGATGGAAACCCGAGCTGTCCCGATACAAGTCCCGCGGACGCGCAGCTTTGGCGAGCCCGAGCTTTGAGTGATTATCCGGCTGCGGCGCCTGAAGATGCCGCACAATGCCCGCGCCCATACAGCGCGAGGGACTGCGTCTGGGTGTAGCTCCACGAGGCCATGGAATCGTCAAACTTGCCGCACGATTCCCCTCGTTCCTCCCAGCCAAGGCAACTCAAAGACGGGCGCTGGACGCTTGAAAGCAGCCGTAGGCATGCCGAGTCCTGGATGATCTTCTCGGCGACCTCAAGGTACACCTCGCCCACTGAACCTTTTCCAAGACTTTGGTCGAGATCTCGATCATAAACCGTGGCAGCGAACGAGGTACTTGAGAAAAATCCATCTACACTGCTGTCAATGCATTGATCCGCGAAAACCACCAAGATGCTGGGCTCATATTTAGCATTGGCACGGGAGTGATACGGCAATCCAACGTGTCGTATCGGTGGCCCATTAGGGCCGGCCCCGATTTCCCGCTCGAGGAAGTCAAAACCTGCAAGCTTTCTTAGGGGGGCTGCTTCAGTTTCCATCTCGATTGCCTGGTCTCCGACTCTGCAAGGGCTTTCCTGTCTCTTTGTTGAAGTGGATTATCGCTGTAAAATGTGGATAACCCTGTATCTGAGTGGCAATCTTGGCAAGGGATGCCTCGCAACCAGCAGATGCGTGTTGGGCTACTGATAAAGTAAAGCTAGCAGAGTGTCGGGCTGCTGTCCCGATTCGTCGTCCGAGGATTGCGTTGATCTGCATCGAAGCCAAGGCTGAGGCTTGCTTGGCATTGAATTCATCGCCAATGGAGAGAGCTGGACGATGGCTCTAGTACCTTTTGACGGCTGGGCCAGCACCTTGATATATTGCGGCTGAGGGTAGCGTGAGAGACTTGGCCGCATCGGTACATTGCCGAAACCCTGGACCTCAGGACCATTCAGCAAGCTTTTGACTTATAAGCCGAGAGACTGTCATCCATCGAGTCGCGTCCCACGCTACTCTCTCGTCCCACACCATCAGTCATCACAATGAAGGCATCACTCATCTTTGGTCTTGTCGGCTTTCAGGCGTCGCTGGTTGCAGCGGGCTTCGACGACTTCGACTTTTACTCCAAGTGTAGTGCTTCAAGCTCCACCGCACTGTGGTCGTACGCGACGATCCCTTGACCTACACCGGCCCAAGTCCAAAGCTGACAAGGTACCGAGCACACAGGAGCCTCGACGCGTGCTCGACTACCCTAAGGGCCAAGGTCACCAAGACATGCAACGCCAACAAGAGCTTCGACTATTGCGCCTGTGACTGGGGCACCAGCTACCTGTCGTACGTTTGGCCATCTCCCCCAGCCGCGCCGGCAAGCAGCTAACACCAGCCACAACAACAGAACTTGCTTGACCCTGGTCTGCCCTACCGACATTGCCTCGTCGTACATTGCCTACGACCCTGCGCAGAGGACAACCGACTGCCCAGCCATTCTCACTGGTGGTGGTGGCGTAGCGGAACCGACTGCCACGGCAACACCAGGATCCGGGACGAACGGGGGGTCCTCTCCCACGACTACGGGTGCTGGAGGGGCCGCCGCAACATCAAAGGCGGGCGCGGCTGGCATGGCCATGCCGATTGCTGGAGGTCTCTTTGCCGGCGTTGTTGGTGGCTTGGCTGTCCTGCTGTGAGGGGAGCTGGTCAAGAGTAAACACTAGACAGACATGGAATACTAGTGTTGTGTGTATGTACATGTATTGTATCAGAAACACCATTTCCTAAAGTTAGACATGGATGCAACAAGTCACTGCAGCCATCGTTGCTGCACTACAACCAACCTCGACTCCATGACGGGCATAGACCACTCGCCAATCAGCATATCACACTTTGCGCGCCTCTAAAGGGTGAGCAGCAAGAACGAGAGCTATGCTAGGATTGGGTTTGTAATGGCTTTTTTTTTTTGGCATCATTCCGGGGCTGGATTGACGAAGCTGTGACCGCGTAGCTGAGGACTCGAAGAGGAGTTTGAGATTTTGTTATTTTATAAATTGGAGATGTCGAGCCATTCCACCTATCGCAGCCTTCAACGAGAGCCTCAAAATACGGCGTGATACGATGAGGGGCTGCTGGTCATGAAGAAGGGACAAACCGGGTTGCGGACAAGACATGAGAGCCTGCCAATCGTATCCCTCGTTCAAATACGATAACAAGCGGGTGGCTTGGGAACTGCCTACTCTTCGGCCAATGAGACGATACTTTGATAAATCGCAACAACTTGAGGAGGGCACCATGATGCCAATTCTGAAAAGATAAATACTCAACAAGCGAGCATCGCTTCTTCTCATCCCAGTCTCCATCTCTTCGCTGGCCACTGCATCCATATTGAGCCATTATACTTCCCATCCCCGTCTCCATCTCTTCCCTGACCACTGCACCATGTCCCCAACTCCAAGCATCACCAAGGAAGGCACCCACATCTGCCACTACCCCCCCACCGCCCCGCACCGCCGCCTGTACCTCTTCACCCGCACGCTCAGCATCATCCTGGCCCTAATCCAAATCGGGACAGCAGCGACCGTCGCAGGGGCCTTCAAGCAGGTGCACTGGCTCGACCCGTCGCTGACCCCTGCCATCACAACTCTCCTCTACTCGAGCGTTGACATTGTCTGCATACTGCGCTGGGACCGCCGGTCGCACCACCTCACGCGCAGCGTCTACGATGGGGCGCTGGCAGTGGGGTTTGCTGTTGCGGCGGGGTTTTTGGCAAGATTGGCGGTGCCGTTTATGAGGGGGAAGGAGGGTGGGGTTGTGGTGGGGGCGTTGGGGGTTGTCGTTTTGGCGTGTATGTTGTTGCAGGTGTAAGTGCCCTTTCATAATGAGGTGGACTGTGCTGACTCGTGTAGCATCATTCATTTTGGCGTGTGTGTTGGCGGGGTTCAGGAGACAGTGGAAATTCGGCACGAGAGGCAACAGCAGGAGAATGGGGATAATGCCAACAGGAAGGTGTAGACTTGGCAGCATGAAAGAGGCAGACGAAACACCTGGGCAGTACGTACCTCGTGCCATAGGCTGTTATTAGTGAACCATAGTCATGGTCAATACCGCGAACAGCATCAACAGCATGCTCCTGTCGCTATTTCTCCCCCACTTGTCAGCACAAGACACGCTCATCTCGTCTACTAGTCCCGCTCATCTTCAAATTCATGTTCCCTCTTGCAAAAAGCACTATCATCAGGTTTTCCATAAGTCATGTACGCTGGTACTAGTGTTAGGACAAGTCACTGTGGTATTGGTAGATGACGTCGCCCGTGGTTACATGCTACCTCTGTATGCGCACCCACGGCGCATCTTGTCGCGTTTTGCTGATGACGCGTGACCCTTGGCAGTCTTCACCACCACCGACCCCACCTCCTCTTACGCTTTTAAATTGGAGCAAAGGAAGACCAAGTTGAACACAAATCAGCGAAAGACTATGAACAATTCCCTAGCAATTTTGATACCTGCTCGTCATCATGCCGGAGCCCGGGAAAACGAAATGGTTGGCGACATCCATGACATGGCTAGTGGCTATGGCGAGACGAACAGCCAGCAGGAGAGACGTGTGTCCAACTTGCATGTGTTTATTTCGATAAAAAATTGTTATATGGTACCACTTTCTGTTCCTGTTACACAACCCCCACCTTCCTACAAGATCACGATAGTTCGATGGGGACATTCCCGAGCAGCTTCCAGGGCCCATTCTGGCCTGTCTTAACAGCCCCTCCGCTGGTGGGAATCTGCCACTCCTCCACCTGGGGCCCAGTGCCCCCATCAAACAGCACGTAAACCCTCTGGTCGACAAAGGTGAGATTGCTTGCCGAGGTTGTGGTGAGGCCTAGGTAGGTGCGGTCTGGTTTGAGTAGCTTGCTGATGCGGTCTTGTTGCACCAGGAAGCCGCTTGAGCAGTTCCATGAAACAAGTGTCAGACTCTGACGGTCGGGAGAGGCAAAGAGGATGAGGTGGGTGATGAAGGCGCCCGTGTTGGTTCGCGCGCATTCGGGGAGCGTCTCTTCGGTGAACCAGTTGCGGTTGTCCTCGGTGGATACGCAGAGGGGTGTATGGGGCGGGAGTTCAAAGGCGGTGTCTGGAAATGCCACTGTTAGTGACGGTGAGAAGAGGGGTTGGCTGATGTGACTTTACTGGCGGCGTTTCCCAGAGTGTTTTTCTCAACGTTATAGGGGTACTGCTTCATGGTTCCAT